TTATCCAGAACTTATTCACAAGGGTCGATGTAATGGCTGCTTAGAATCCTGCAAACTCTGCATCTGAGCCAGCCCGTGGAGACTAATTACTGTAAAATGCCGCTGCAACCTGGGCAGTCGTTTTTGAAAGCGTGCAGATTTTTATTTCTAACATGAGATTTTTCATTTCGAGTGAAAGTCCGCCGTACTCCAGCCCCGCCAGCTCTCCTTCGGTGATTTTGTGGTGCATTTTCTTCGGTTCATATTCCTGGAGACCGCTTTGTTGTGTTCAGACAACAACGTTGCCCCTCGCAAGATTGGACCTAACTTCCAAAGTGACGTCTAACCGATTGAGTCGACCATGTCGAATTCATCAGTTGCGCTTTTGACTACGGTGGCTGGTTTGGATGTTCGTTAGGTCGAATTATTCGGAAGTTCTTTCGGTTAGTGTATACCATATCAATTCCTAAACTGGATTCCCCTTGCCGCTGAAATGGATGTGGCATTTGATACGTATCCACCGTGACGATGTGAAAAGACACATCCTGTCGACATTCTTGTCTGTCATATCAGCTGAGTGGGGGGAAGGGGGGGGGGGGGGGGGGGGGGAGGGTTCAGCCATGAGCCCAGTACTCAGTTCTTACTCTTCGGTGAATCACAGTATGGATAACTATGGTAAGGTGGAGGGTCCGATGGCGGAATCTGAGAAACAAGTATAAAGGGGTTGGCAGACTTCCTTCAATTCGTGGTCACCAAGAAGGTCAAAATTTGGGTACTAAATTTCATCACGTAAATTCTTCACAGTGCAATTGACTGGAGGAAGGTCTCTGTAAAAGGCTTCACTGGGAAGTTCGAGAAGCAAGTTTCACCTCCAGGCGTGCCTTGAACAAACATGACGTTTCTGTTACACTTTTCCTCTGCTAGTAAATCTCCTTGAAATTCACTTTATTTAAAACCAGTGGGTGAGTAGGAAGTGGAGTGCCAATTGCTGCTGTGGCTACAAGTATGGCCGAGTGATCAACCTCCAGATCGACACCCACTAAGATATGCTAAGCTTTCTTCCCTTTGGATTTGGGCAATTGGCACAAGATTCGTTAGGGAGTATTTTGGGATAAGGTTTCAGTTGGCTCTCACCAATAAAAATATGCATCCATGCGACACATCGAATTTTGATGGATGTCGAACTGTCGGGTGAATGCCAAACACGAGACTGATCTATGCCGAAAAATTCATCTGGCTAGCCGTTCCGATTATGTTGAGCTTCAGTTCCTCCGACTAAACCCCATCCGCCAGAGGTCGCAATGAGGTGTGCTTCACACAGTTCTACCTACTCAATTCTCAGAACATCAAGGTTGTACGGATGCTGAGGAGTGTTCGAGACCATAAGAGTTCCGCTAATCGCTGATTTTCGTGTTCTTTCGTCATGCAGCCCATTACCTGACCATCGAAAATACCTAGGATTCATTAGCTATAATTATTCAGCAATCGAGATTTTGCTTTGATACCCACAGAAAAGCGGCATCAGTCTTGCCAGGTTATATGGAAGCCTGCCTTGTCAGATCGGTTGATTCCAAAAGTCGTTTTTCATCCCAAATATGCATTGAGACGTCATTACGACATGTCGTTTATGTGGTATACCTCTGGGATACTGAAGGGAAGTCGAATGCGTGGGCGCATCCCTCGGACAGGACTGATGAACGTCCCAAGACTTTACCCTTTATCCTTCACGTCTGGGGGCTTACGGGGGCTGGTTGCCTTATCAAATAATCCTTTTTATAAAAGTTATGGTTTGAGAGCATCCAAGGAAGTACTGAGCTTATTAAAACGAACACTAAAGTATAAAGATCAACAGGTCCGCTTCCTGAACACTCGTACCCAAGCTGAGTCGCCATAATGATCCCCAGCGGTAAATTGATCCGGGGAAGGCTCCTACTCAACATGTATCAGATTTTAAAATATACTAAGATAAGTTATTCTTCTACTATAAAGTTCGGAAGTGATTCTGCGGTTCAACAGTTTCAGAAAATCACTACCTAACTCTTGTTCTCAAGCTTCGCTAACTCACTCGTCACTTTCGAAGACCTGTGGTCAAATCGTACTTCATCCGCTGTTACCTGCCGGCTGTGACTTCGAAAGAGAACGAGCACGAGCATTTCCTGAAAGAAGCGCTCCAAACTTTATGGTCACAACGCCCAACCTACCCAGTTACATCAAAAGCTTCAGTAGACTGGGGTAATAAGCGTAACAACGATGACTGTGGTTATGGCCGCTTGTTTTTTGTCAAACATATGCGGAACAAGCTCCGCTACATTTAACGATGCCTACTCTGGACTAAATCTGTGTGTGTGTGAGCAGTAAAATTTGAGAGCCGTCTAATCCGATCTTGAAATCGTTCCTTGTCTTTCCAACTCCATGGCTGCCTTCTTCCCGATGGAGGGAGACTTCCAGAACGCTCTCAAAATATTCGCTGATAGCTTCTCGATCGTTTTCATTGATAAAACATCTCATATATCATCCTATTTCTACATTCCAGCGCATTTTCATTCCTCATATCACTGTTTTCTGCTCCTTCTCTGACATCACTTTAACTTTTCCTCCCATTTTATTTTTTCCATTTCGAGCCCTTGAGAACTTCTAGTTTCAAAATGGCGGTATAATAATTCCCTCGAGACATTGTCCATCACCTATGCAACACACATCATGCGAAAATTGTGTACAGCCGAGGGCTAAAGTGCGGCTGGTCTCAGTTGTGGACAGGATAGCACCGGTACTAATAGAACGATTACTGCACCAGCAGAAACTAGGACCGTAGATCAGGGTTCAAGTACGGTCGCGTAGAATCTGCTTTCTCATTTCTAAACTTCTTCAAGGTAACGTTCAAAAGCGTCAAAGAGAGGAGAAAGGAGGGAGAGAACCATCTAGTTACAGCCATTATAAACTACCTACATAGTCATAGCCATTAACATTACAATAATCATTTCGCATTTCTGATTACAGGGTCGATCATGAAATTTGGCCCACCATTTTCATCCATCAACCCACCCTTTCCCCAAGTGCTCATATGAAACTTCTGTGGAAACCTCCCCTGCTTTACACCCTGTCTCTCACAGTGAGTACCTCGCTTAGATCAACTATTGTCACATTGTATTTCTTTTTTTATCGTTAGGAATTGCTGAATATATTCTCATCTTGATAATTACTTATCATAAACTCCTACTCTACATGCAATATTTCGTTCTACTAACCATTACCATACTTCTAAATTTGCCGAATTTCGTTTGTCTTCACTTGACCTCATGTGCAATGATCATGTTCCATTCTACTGAATTATTACGATCTATCAAACTCAGCCACCTGCTGAAAGCAGCAACATTCAGATTGAAGGCAGCAAGGATGTCTTAATGGGATGTCCGGATGTACTACGTCGTTTTTCTGATCCCGATTCTACAAGCGCTAGAACTGCCGCTTGCTCCTTACAATGTGAAAGTGAGTTTTTCGTAAGCAATGAGGGCATGCAGCTGTGAACTTGAAGTATCCTTTACAATCTTACTGAGATAAAAAATGTATTTATGAGCACGCGGTAGCTCAGTAGCAGCATGTTTCGGAAGAAACAACAACGTAAATCCATTCAGGGGATACCTTCCCTAAAAAAGAGCTTACCGACTCATGAGTTCTTTTCCCAAGACTGTTCTCAGAGAATTTGCTTGACCCGGTTAGAAACTCAACAACTGGAATCTTGTGAACCAATGTCCAGCTAACTCTCCCGACTCCAAAATTAATTCACGATTTACCTCTTAAAGCAGCTATTAATCGGGGAGTGAGGATTCTTGGTTCCATTCAAATCTAAGCAGCATACCTCGCCACATTTGTCATCCTTCCTACCCATCAATACAATATTGTTCGTCTCCTCTACCTATAGCTAACCAGTTACCATAGCTCCACATATATCTAGCTGACTAAACGGGGATTCCCTAAAAAACGAATCGCAAACTATTACTGCTATCCAGAGCAATTGCATTCAAATTATCGTTCAATAGCAGTCCGTTTATAGCTCTCTTTCTGCAGCCGACGATGAGAAATAGGGCCATATCTCGCATCCGCACAACAACCAAGTATTCCTTGAAATCAGAGAATACTATAGTCTTCATAAAGTTCTTCTAGCGCGGAAGGTTCAGCAAGTGTAGGAGGTCAGTCAACTGCGCACCTATTCTCTCTCTGCCGTTAATTGACCCGTGTAAACATCAACAGGGTGAATAATGGGTTATTGGTTGTAACAGCGCAACATGTGGAGTCCACAAACATAGCCCAGAAAGAAGAAAGAGCAAAAATGACCACTGGGTCCGTGCAAGCTGGCCCGGTGAAAATGTAGTTGGGGGGGGGGGGGCACCCATCACAATGTCG